CAAGACTATAGCACAATGCTTGGCAAGACCGATGCGATCGCCTATGCTAAAAAAATATGGTTGACACAAACTGTCATATTTTTATTTGATTCAAACAAACAGTTTCTGGGAGACTTTTGAATTAATTCATTTAGGACAACCATTTTATTGGATGTATTTGAAAAAATGGCCTCTTGGTAGAATACGGAATGTGATGTCTGTGACATAATTATGCCTACCTTCTTTAAACTGACAGACGTATCCTTTAGGCTCTCCACAATATTCATCGTCATAGTTACCTTTTTTCGTTGGTCTGTACCTAGAATACAAAACAAAGTACATGCAAATATAAGAATGATTTTCAGAATAGAAATAGTTTAATGTTTTATACAATGTTACGTTTATGACTAAGGGTAATAATTAAGTAGTTAAAGTAAATTGTCTTCTAATGTATTTCTATTTGACATAACATGAAATGAATTGAAGAGCAAATATACATCGATATTTAGAAACATTTTTTCCATTTGAAAACTCGCTCAAAATGATAAACACATATCGATACGCGTAATATTAAGTTGAACATTACTTTCTGAATTACACATATATACGCATTGTGTTCGAATATTATTTCGCTTGAGTATGAATTATGCAGTTCATGGTAGTAGAACAATTCACTTTATGTCTAGCGTAAGAATCGTGTTGCAGGAATTGCACGAAAATGTTATGTAATTTATCACAGCTGTTGTTCGAAATTATAATACCACTTATTCCGATTATTTTCTGAACGCAGTGGTGTAATCTATATTAAACATTATTCCACTAGAGTGTGTAGAAAGATTGTTTTATCTATTGACTACATATACTTCAATGTACTTACCACAACTGAACGCAATTCTCTCCATGACTGTCCTGTGAAATGTTATCATTAGGTTGATTCTTCTCCCATACCTGAAAATCGTGGCACTGTTCGTGCACCCACGAAAACTTTTCAGGTTGCATTTTATGTCTGGATGTTTTTGGATCCCTAGCATCATGTAGACCAATCCAGAATCCGTAGTTACTGCAAGTCACATTGTCAGCGTGCGCACGGATTAGTTTTCGTATTTCTTGGTGAGTCTTCTTCTTGTCGATAGTCGCTAACCAACCACCCATGCTTTCGCATTCGTCCTTAGCCCACTGCCAGTCTGAATCCTCAGTTCTGCAGAATACTTCATATCTCCAACAGTAACAACTTGTATAGTCAAATACTGTAGAAATGAAAATGACACATGACTACCTGGTGGTTTATGGAAGATAACTATGTTATAATAATTTAGTAATTTATATAAGGTTGTTGATTTATCTAGTCTTGTCAATTTCATTGGTTTAAATAATAATAAAAAAGATTATTATTTCCAACACTATTGTGTTGCCTAATTGACATGCGACCATGCGTAGTATGGGAACTAGATGAAAATTCTCACCTTCTGAATTTCCGGAGGGGTGTTGAGCATATGTAGCACCGGCAAAGGCGAGAAACGTAACAAATAACAGCATATTGTCGTGCTGGGTGGTTTCTGAAGGAAGATATAATAGACGTGAATGAAAAGTATCATACAGTGGTATGGTATCTCATGTCATGTACATAGAACGATGAAAACTTATAAGGTTGAGTAAGAATTTGAATATCAGCAACAAGTTGACGAACTACAATATTGTTCATGGCTGACTTTAGTTACACATGTAATATGTAATATCGAGTGAAACAGTTGTTAAGAAATGTATGTACTTATGTATTTATAACATCAATATATAAAAACTTCTCTTTTCAGTAATAAGTAAAAAATGGTAAAGCGATGCGAATATTTTATTGTAATAACAGTATTCAATACCACAATAAGAATATACAAGTTCAACTTATAATTAATATAAATAAACGCTTTGTGTATATTTATTAAAGCTTTATTTATGTCCTAATGCAGGCACTTTATTGGTACACATATATGCAAAACAAACTGATGCGGGCGATGAAAAAAAGCAATTTTTTTCCCTAAGTGAATTAGCAGATTTTAGATATTGTAGTTTTATGGATTAATACTACACATTTTTGTATAATACTGTATGTAAATAAATTAACGGACAGGCGTAGCTACATACAAAGTTTTACAAACACAAATTATAGTTCTTACCGGAGTGAACTGCAGCTGAGCTGTGTTGCCAATGGTATGAGTATTTCCACACTCTGATGGCCTTTTTATACAGAAATAACCGTGCTACGCAACATCGATACAATATAATACAGCGAATATTCGAGGCGTTGCTTATCCACTTTTTCATCACATGAGAGTGCCATATTGACCAGTGTTTCCGGGATTCATGGTTATTGTTTCAAGTGTATTTTGTTCTCTCGTACTCAAACATCCGACAGCGGTCGTCACATTTCACTTTGAAACCATATTGCATTTGACTTCACGGTCGTCTACTTTCACAAAACCAATCGTTTCATTTGTTTCAGATTTCTCCTTTTAGATTTTATTTGTTTAACAACTTTCATGTAGTAGACAACATCACTTCAAAACCTTGAACACCATATTTCCCACAGTTTGCACATATTGATTTTTAAAGAATACGTTCAACATCTTTGCGTCGCGTAAAAATAATTTCCTATCAGCTACAGGTCTTCATCAACATTCTTGAATAGCTAATATGGGAACAATTACTGTCACAATTATAAATAAAAGTGATGAGTCGGGTGTGTATTGTTCGCTGTGTGGTCAGGATAGCGGGAGTAGGATTCTTCAAGTCGGGGAAACTCACTTAGCAGCGGAGGTACAGTGATAGTTGATGTAAACCCATTCAATTACATTTATGTGCAGAGACAGGAAACACACCGAGATTTAAAGGTTGCTTGAAGTTTTTTTTTAGTATATAATCTCACCAAGCTAGTTTGTCCCTACTAAAATTACTACGAGGAATCACAAAACTTGGGGTGTAGGCTCTCGGCAATCAGGCAGGTGATTCTCTCGCAACCAGACAGGAGTCTTCCTTTCGTAGCAACCGGGTGTCGCCTTATATCAGCAGACAGACACCTCCTCACAAAAAGGGCCGTTGACACTTTCCCAGTTTTTCCATGGAGTGCGAATACAGGTCACAGCTTGGGTAATAAAGTCACAGCTTGTCCGGTAATAACATTTCAAGAATTTATGAAACATCTGCAAACTAGTGTAATTCTAATTTAGTAAGTCAAATTGAAATACGTATAGATTTTATCATTTGTGTGTTAACAGCAACCCATAAATGATTTGGAATGTATTTTAGCTATGTGACCATACGTGAAAATATTTTGTAAATGGTGACAATTCGGATATGGCGTACAAATGGCTAAGAAATCTTATGTATTTGCAAAACAAACAAAAACTTTTGGAACTTAAAATACAAAGCATCGAATACATAGTATCTCCTTCTACAATCTTGCTATTAACATTTGATTTCGAGGAAATTGAATATATATATAATCATCAGAATCATATCGTCCTTCATACAAAAATACTGTACAAACAAAATTTAACAATGATTTGTTAAGGAATAAACCTAGTTTTATTGAGGTGCATCTAATTTCAAATATATGAATTACGCATATATACGCATTGTGTTCGAATATTGTTTCGCTTGAGTATGAATTATGCAGTTCATGGTAGTATAAAAATTCACTTTATGTCTATCGTAAGAATCGTGTTGCAGGAATTGCACGAAAATGTTATGTATTTTATAACAACTGTTTTTAATACCACTTCTTTCGATTATAGAAACAGTGCGCCATCATCAATGATACCCGGAGATGCTCATATGAACAAATATATCTGTGCTCTATTATCACGTATCCTTAAATATAGTCATTACAATTTATTAGTTTATGCGGTACAACGTCGTCTGCCTGCTTTAAAATTGTAGCTTGAATCGTATATTGTATGGTCACTTGTGTGGCAACGGGAAGGAGACATATGTGTAAGCCAGCCGCACACTTCCCGTCTAGACACGCCCGAGATCCGTAGCACTGTGCATGGTTCTACGACTAGGGAACAGTTTTTATTGGAGAGTTCTTCAGATTAAAGTAAAAACAGATCAAAACATTTTTAAAACGTTCGTCTTTCATAGGATTGTAGCGCTAAAGCATCCTTTAAGAAAACAAGTTCATCGATTTGTTCGCGTCTTTCAACTACGGTTGTTTACATAATACCCAGACAAAACTGACATCTAAGCAATAAATTTATATTCTTGATCACGGTACGTGTACTTGTACTGCAGAAAACGCCAGAACATGGTTTTTGAAACACAAGAACATGATGAGGTTCAAAACTACAGGAACACCAATGAGTGCCCCACCTTCACCTTCCACTCTGATGCGGGCAAAAACGAATAACACAATTATATCGATATTTATACCATTTCAAATGATTTAAAGGGGGAACCGCTCAATCCCATAGATTGCACCAAGTGTTCACAGGTAATTAACTCCGCCTCTGTCCACTAAGTAATGAATGCTTATCTTTCTCCCTGTCTGCTAATACCACAAACTGATATAAACATCCTTTGAACGGATTACGATTACTTGTTTAAATATAACATAACAATTGAATTTCAAACCAAGTACATATTAGGCAGTTCGGTCATTTGCGACAAACACAGAGCTATATGCCATGATTTGAAACATCGCGCGCTCCGTAATATATACATCGACGGGCAAATATGCTGCGGAACTAACCAAATTCAAGTTGATGACGGCCCATAAGTAAAGACAGCAGTCAACCGGATATTGAACACAAAACCAGATTGTTGCTAAACGGCCACGAAGAAAATCGGCCGACTTGTCTGTTTCCGTTGCGTCAGTCTATTGACAGTATTGATCTCGTATACAGTGAAACTGAGAACAAACATTCCTATGCACATTCCGTATACGTATACTCCTCCGGCCTGCTAATATAACAAGTTGGTAAATAGCTCTGGTCAAGGACTTCGGTTCTCATAATTCAGTCGCAAATCGATAAACAAAACGTGAATTTACTATTGCCCTCAAATTTCCATAAATTTCCATAAAATCCACAAATTGGTATAGGAGTTACTACATGGAATTTCCGAGTGGTGAAATAACAAAAGCATAAGTAACAAGCCATGCATGGCACAGTCCCCGTTAGTTATCGAATTTAAGATATATAGTTTTGTTTATAGTAATATAGCTGGAATATAACCATGTCAGGAATATGATTATTTAGATTTTTTTAACATTAAAATGATTGTATCTGATCGTCAAACAATTACTTGTCCATATTGAGAGATATTGCTCTGGAACAGCATTCAAAGTCAGCCATTTATATAAATATAATTATATATATATATATATATATATATATATATATATATATATATATATATCATTTAAACATAATCAGTCAAAGCATGTCAGAGATATGGCTCTAGAAGCCCGATCATTAAAATAAAATGGCCACCCGTCAGTCATTTTGAATCCGATCTGAAAAATAAAATGATGTGCATCAGGAACCCGTAATGTCTAATGTATGTACCAAGTCGAACGAAATCCATTCATAAATGCCATAAATGCTTGATATTTGATGATTTTTAGCACAAAAATGGCCACCATTCGCCCATTTTTAATAGGACCGTCAAACCAATATATCTGTATATCTATGACATGATGTATAATGAATATTTAAAATTTGAACATAATCAGTCAAGTCAGAGATATGGCACGAGAACCACATTCATTAAAACAAAATGGCCACCAGTCGGCGATTTTGAATCTTATCTGTTAATCAAAATTATTTGCATCAAGGTCTATAATGTCTAATGTATATACCAAGTTTGAACGAGAAATGCTTGATTTTGATGATAGTTTAGCACAAAAATGACCGCCATTCGGCCATCTTTAAGCAAATCGTAAACAAATTGATGTGCATATGTATAATGTCATGTATGATGTATGTGTAAAGTTTGATTATGATTGGCCCAGGCATTTCTAAGATACAGGTCCGGACGGAAGCACGGACGCGCAAGGGTCAGAATATAAGTCCCCGTTTTTGGACTGCGTCCGAACGGGGACTAATAAAAAGGCGCCGCTACATCACGGGCTCATCTTGTCTGTGTCTGGAAAATCAAAATGTACAGCCTTTTCTTCCGTGAAGGCTAGCACGTATGTGCAAGGCTGGTACGGGCTTGTATCTCGTGTAAGATTTGAGTTCTTGTGGTCTAGCGGGTGAACGTGGGGTTGACTTTATAGTCAAAATCAAATGAGCGGCGAGAAAGAGAAGAGCGTTCTCTCAAAACTATTTTACCGTAGACTCAAATTTAACGCCCAATCTACTGCGTTGTAATTATAACAAAATCGACGTTGTTTCAATATATGGCGCGACTACGTCTACTGGTCATGCTAGGCAAAACAAATGGACACTTCTTGTTGAGTCGTTTACAAACTTTTATCGATTGTGCACATAAGTTGAACCCCCTTCGCCAACTTTATTTACAGGCCAGTACTGATTTCTATGAATTTCATGCTGGCTTACGAAACACGGGGCCTATTGTTTGCTGGCAAGTAAAAACAACTAAAATGAAAGTGAATTAAAAAAATCATTTTCTTTCGGGCTCTCGATTTTGTTGTTTATTATCATTGCACGTTATGTTACTTATTATATTAAAAGAAACGATATTACATCTTTGTGTAACTTTTTCAAATGATAGTAATTTTAGGTAGCATATAGTTAGTTGAGTTACGAGTCTGGCCCAAACCCCCTCTCTTCACTGACTGGTCTTTGGTTTCAAACATCGCTTTCTCGATCGTCTTCTCGATGATGTGGCTTTTGAGTGTTGCTTTGACTTGGGTATTGTGTTTTACATTCCAACAAGAAATTTTCGCGTGTTTTTAATTTCGCGCATTTGGACTAACCGCGAAATTAAAACGACGCGAATAATTTCTACTTCTACAGTTATTGCAATGGATATCTGAAAGCCCGTAACCTAATGTTATTGACATTTTCCCAGTGTTACCGATGGTTTAGACCATAGACAAACTACGTAACGACAATGCTGTTTGTTAACCAACAAGTTTTATATATTGAATAAACATCTAGGGGATTTACATTTTGCATACATTAGCCGCACGTTTCGACTGAAAACAACAACAATTGTACATCAAAAGCC